CTCTGTCTTTCTGGCGAGCACATGCGCCCTATAGCGAAAACCACTCAAAAAAAAAAAAAGGAAATACTTTATCTTTGTTCTTATACAGGTAACTAAATTAGTAAGTAATTTACTGCTTGGTAGAACAAAGTGCGTTGGGTCCTTTTTGCCAGGGTTTATATTACTTAAAAAGTTTGCTTTAGGAAGAAAGTTAATATAACACAAAAATGTTTAATTGTGGCCTGATTTTTCAGAAAATTAACTTCATTCACATATCCTTTGGTATTCAAATTACTAGTGGGATTTTCTCTTTCTAGCCTGTCAGTGTTGATACAATGCAGGTATTAAGTGAAATTGTAAATGTTGCAAAACTTCCAGCATTTCATGGTGTCTTGAGTGTGGGAGTGCTGTGTGAAGATCCACTGGCAAGGAAGGGTCCATAGAATTAGAGTCATTAACAGTTGAAGAGAAGCTCAGTAACCAGGGTGACACAATAGGGCCTTCCAAAGGGAAACTTTGAACGTTACGGGATGGGGGAGTTCCCTGGCAGAGCTGATACAGCCCCGGCATATTTTGTGAAGTCAGTCTCTCTGTAATTGTAATGTGAAGTCAGAGGCAATGGGAAGGATGCCATATCTTGCTAGAAAAATTATGCCCAAAAGAATCAATGTTTCATCCATCCATTATGAAAATTCAGTAAATAGGTGTAATTATAACCTATATTTTGTTCAGTATAAAATAAAATCAGCTTGGGACCAACAGTTAGAATAATGGCTATGTCGCTGAACTCCCATGTAGCCAACTGCGGTTTGAGTCCCGGACCCAGTGGCTTGAACTCACGCCAGGCACATGTGCATGCATGCCCAAGATCCTGAGAGGAAAATGGAGGAGAAGGGATTGCAGCGTGGCCATCCCCCCTGGGGGGGTGATTTCTCATTTTCTGTCTCTGTCTCTGTCTTTCTGGTGAGCACATGCACCCTATAGCAAAAACCTCTAAAATAAATAAATAAATAAATAAAAATTTAAAAAAGATAAAATCAGCTTATTTGTATGCTTTTTAATTTTATTTCTCTGGTTAACGTCTCATCCAAATCCCATTGTCATTATTTATCAATATAATTTTGGTCTCTGTTTTTGAAATATTTATTTTGAGTGACTGTTAACTGTTTGAGTTATCTTTAGTTAATATTAACACAAGAAAATAAGATTGCAGTATTGCTATGAAATTCACACTGGTCCATATTTTTGTAAATGATCATCTCGGATGCTTTTTTAAATAATATCCTTTAGAAAATTTTCATTTTTGAAACTTGAGGCAGTCTTTTTATTTTTCAAAAACTTAAAATTATTATTTGGACTGACTGTATAGTGACAACGCAGACCGTAAACTGGTTGTAATAAGGTATTTTCGGTTTGAGTTGTGTTTTGCACACGCAGGGACTAAGATGCCCACGTATTTAGGGCTCAGTTTTACAGCACAGGTGTTCTCCTGAGAAACGGGCTGAAGAGCTAATCGTGTGTCCCAGCTGGTACTCACTATGAAACTGGCTATCGCAGAATACAGTGAAGAATTATAGTACTACTTTTAAATTACATGTTTAAACCACTTTCTAATGAAACATTTAATACCATATTCAAAATAAACCATGAATTACAGCAATTATACTAAAACTGAAACTAGTGTCCTGAGCTGGCCCCGTAGCGCAGTGCTTTAAGTGCTGTGCCTCAGAAGCCGAATCCCACATGGCTGAGAGCAGTTTGAATCCCAGCTTTTTAAAATAAATATCCTTTAGAATATTTATTGGTGACTTAAAAAACATGCCAGGTATTTGTGTGTGCATGCCCAAAATTTTGACAGGATAGAGAAATGGAGGAACAAGGATTACAGCTAACCAGGCCCTGTTAGGGGCTGCTTTCTCTCTCTCTCTCTGGTGTCTGAATGCACTTTCTGGCTGTAAAAAAAAATGTGTCCTTGGGCCAGCCAGTGGTATGGTGGTTAAGGGTGCTGAATCCTGCTCAGCTGACTGCACAGACCAAGTCCTGAACCCTGCAGCTTGAGAAATATGCTGGATGTGTGTGCATGTTTGCCCAATTCTGTGAGGAGTGGGGAAGGGATGTGGT